GTTTCAGCAACAAACATGTTGCTGTAACTGCATGTGGCAAGATGTTTATCTTGAATCCATAGCTGCAGTATCTTTGGAGGAATAGAATGCTCAACAGTGCTCCACTTTGCCCAGGTACCCAGACAATATGATGGGAGGTAAAGAGAAGAAATGAGAACAGCCTCATGAGGAACCTGCATGTGTGCATATAAACCTGTTCCTGAGGTACATGAGCTGGCAGGTTTAGCCCCTGTGGTAAACTGCTGGTTATTGTGCTACTGTGTCACTCTGGAAGTGACCTATAAAATGTCAGTCCTCCTCACTCCCTGGATATCAACCTCTGCATCCATGAAGTGAAGAGGCTTAAGAAATCATGACTGCATCCAGTTGGAATATTCCTTCTCTGGTATGTGACACTACTCATGAAGCACATAAAGGTCAGGCCTATGTTTAATAGCTTCATACTGAAAAATATAACACTGTGACTGGAGGAACTTTGTATAGTACCAAGTGCCAGGGCACCTTCATTTCATGTTTTGGTGGAGGATTGAGTTGTCAGTGCTTTCAAGCCATTAGTGTAGATGTCTCATTGTTCTGCACTGAGATCAGCTTTTGGAACGAGCTCAGGAACTAGATTCCTTATGCTGACTGGAAAGCTTCATCCTCTGAGCTAGCCTGCTGCCTCAGCTGGGTGGGTGATACCTGTCCAGTGCCCACATCTAAAGTCACTTGGAACCAGCATAATGGTTATGCCCTTTCACTTTGAAAGGCTATTTGAATCCACTAATAGAAGATGAAGAACTGTTGATAAAATGATTTATCTGTTTTCCAGTGGTGGGGAAAATGATGATGACTCTGACCAGAACTGGAAGCCACCAGAAAATGATCTGATCCAGAAGTTAATAGCACAGATTGAATATTACTTCTCAGATGAGAACCTTGAGAAAGATGCCTTCCTTCTGAAGCATGTGAGAAGAAATAAGATGGGCTATGTCAGTGTTAAACTTCTCACTTCATTTAAGAAGGTAAGCCAACTTTTTAATACTTGAAGGGTCTCATGCAAGCCTGATAAATCTAAAAACAGCAGAAGAGATTAAATTAACATTTTATACAGGCAACTTTATAGTCTTTCTCTTTATCTGCCTGGTTTTGCTATGATGGTTAGATTTGTACTCATCCAGAACTTTCACTGCTGAACTTGTTGATGACTGGCTAGGGAAATCATTGGCTTAAAAGCCTGTATGCTTTTAAATGACCATTCTTGGAGACAGGAGGACATTAGATAAAATTAATTTCCATGGCAACTACTCATGAACAGCAGAGTAGTCCTGGTAAAGTTACATTCCTGTCTCTGAGAAGGGACAGTGAATCTGACTTTTGGACAGAGAACCAAAAATGAAGAGTAGTATAAAGTATCTGGTAACCAATGTCCCTTAGACTTGAAGTGAGTTTTATTATTTTTTCTTTTTTTTTTTTTTTTTTTTTTTTTTTTTGTCCTTACGTTAGAAAGACCTATGTAAATCTGTAAGTAACTGATTTCTAGAATTACACTAGAAATACTTTGTCAAGCTTCTAAATCTCATTGTTTTGCAGTTATTCAGTCTAGAAGTTAAGGCACTCAATTTTGTCAGACCACTTCAAGCAGATTATATTGGTAAGAGATAAACTCTCTATAAACATGTAATGAAAATGGAAAAGTTTGGGGTGTTTTTTAGACTGAGATTTTTGAGGGAGGAAAGATCAGTTCAATACACTGAAGACTTAACCTTCTTGTTTGGCAAATGTAAAACTTCAAACAAAACTTCTTGTTTGGCAAATGTAACATCCATAGAACATGCATTTTGATCACGGTTCAGGCCTAGATGTGGAATGACCAAGCACTACTTGAGCAGGCTTTCAGATTATGATTTCCAGTTTGAGCTTTAGTGCCAGTTCCTGTTTTAATTCGATTCAACAGGACATGAGCTTTACAGGAGCTCACTGATGCCCATTACAGCATGAAAACTGTATACTTTCTCACTAAGTCTGCTGCATGAAACTTAAATCCAGGGTTCTGCTTGTAGACTGAAGCCTCCCTCTGCCTTAAAATTCAGTGACTAGTTTGATTGGGTTTTCTCAGTTGTGGTGCTTAACCTGTGTCTGTCCTGAAGGTGAAACACCTTACTCGTGACTGGAGAACCACAGCCTATGCACTGAAGTACTCCAGCACTCTGGAGCTCAATGATGATAACAAAAAGGTTCGAAGAAATACTCCAGTTCCAGTGTTTCCAAGTGAGAATGTCCCTACCAGGATGCTACTGGTGTATGATATCCACAAGATTTCTGAGCTGCAGGCCCTTAACAAAGAAGAAAATGGATGCATGCAAGAAAGGATAATGGAGCATCTCCTCAAAGCCTTTGTTACTTTTGGTGTAATTTCATCAGTTCGTATTCTCAAGCCTGGCAGGGATCTCCCACCTGATATCAGGAGGGTCAGCAATCGGTACACCCAGCTGGGAACCCAAGAATGTGCAATTATAGAATTTGAAGAAGTAGAAGCGGCCGTACGTGCTCATGACTTCATGTGTGCTGAAAACAAAGAGACTGGCATGAAAGTTGTCCAAATAGGCATGAAACCACCAAAGAAAAAAGTTCCCAAAGACAAGAGCCATGATGAAGATACCAGCAAGAGCCTTAAGAAGGCTCGATCCCTTAACAAGAGAGTTGAGGAGCTTCAGTTTGCTGGTGATGAATCTTCAGCAAACAGCTCTTCGGACCCAGAGAGCAATCCTACATCACCGCTGTCAGGACGCAAACGTACCACAACAAATACTACGAGTAATTTGAGCCCCATGATCCACCCAAACAACCATTTGAGTCCTAACATGTCACCCAGATCAAGTCCTTGGAACAGTCCATCTTCACTAAGAAAAGTAACAAAAAAATCTCCGCTGGCTGAAGACAGCAAGCTTAATGCAAGCACTAGCCCTGAAATTCCAAGGAAACACACCGATTATTCCTCAGATAGCAGCATCACTCCTTCTGGGAGCCCCTGGGTGCAGAGAAGAAAAGCCCAAACTCTGACACAAGAGAAGAGTCCTGTCAGCAGTCCCATGTTGGTTCGGAAAATACAAAATGCAGACGGTCTCCCTGTAGGGGTGCTGCGGCTGCCTAAAGGTCCTGATGGCACCAAAGGATTCCACAATGGCTGTGAAAGAAGGAAGGCTATGAAGGGTGAATAGACTGTTCTTTAAAAACAGTTTCACAAATCAGCCAACAGCTGGCGACCAAGCCTCGTGAAAACTTATCGCTTGAGTGACTCAGTTAAGTCAGTATTTAATTTTAAAAGCTTTTGTATTTATATAGAGACTTTATCATTTGTATATTTGTATATTATTTTCTTCACAGAACAGATGAGGCTGGAAGGCATCTCTGGAGATTGCCCAATCCACCTACTTTGCTGAAGCTAAAAGTCACTGATAGGTTTGAGTATCTGCAAGGACAGACTCCCAGCCTGTCTGGCTGATGTGTTCCCGTGTTCAACCACCCACACAAAACCAGTCTGTGCCCCTTTTCCTGTTACTGGATATTGCTGAGAAGTGCCTGGCTCCATCTTCTTTACTTCTTCTCATCAGATATTTAAAAACCTTGATGTGATCCTCCCCCAGAGTCCTCTCCACTCCAATCTAACCAGTGCCCACTCTCTAGGCCTCACAGGAGGGACGTGCTAGCCTTTTAATCAGCTGAATCACTTAGCTAATGCAGGGCCCTACCTGCATCCATTCTTTATAATGTATTCTTTTGAAACACCTAAATATTCAAGCAGCCATATAAATCATTGATGTAAGTACATTATTTGCCAAGCTAGGATCCTGAGGAGCAGTGTGTACTTACACTTTAGTGGCTATATTATGAAAAGCTATGGAATATTACCAGTCTTATCATAGGGAGCTGGGGTTTTGAAGACTTCCTGTGTTTGTCACAGAAGGAACAGAGAAACCAATGCCACACAGTGAGCAATTGTTCTCACATACATCACCAAAGCAGTATTGTTCAAGACTGCTTGTCTTGAATCAGTGTGCATTTTCATGAGTAAAGACCGAGCAGTGGAGACTGCTCTGTAAGTGTTCTCTTGTATAATCAGATGAAAATAAAAATATTAACTCTAGATCTATTTTGTTTACTTTAAAAATAAGTTGAGCTGCACATGAATAGATAACTTAAACCTCATCTTATACCACATGAAATTCTAGTAGCAGTTACTCAAAATTTCTATTGCATTCAGGGAATAAAATTTTCTCTGCCCCATTACTGATGGTTAATTCTGTGATGATGCTTCACTCTGTGTGCCACAGTCATTTTTATACAATATTATAAACTAAACAGTAGTTATGTCACTGCTAACTCAGAATTTGACAAGCAGGCTCAGCAAGAAGTGCTTAAATTAAAATTAACTATAATGCTACACGAAGTGAAAGAAGGAAACTGCAGTTTTACTTACAAAAGTTAAACTGGAAAACTAGCCCAGGGACAGTAAGAGCATTTCAAGTTGCAGTGGTCATCTTGGGAACTGTGCATGACAAAGGTCTCATCAGATGGTGATTCTTCATTCCAAAAGTCCACATCCTGTCCAACTTCCTAAGTGTAACATTTCTGCTGTGTAAATAACTGCAGTAACCCACAGTTAGACTCCTATACACAGAAATCCCAGCTCTGTGTGTTGCTCTTTAGCCACCCACATACATTCCTGGTTCTTCCACTGCACACAAATGCAATCCTCCAGGTGACCTCCCGACTCCCATGACACAAACTACAGCATGTGCACAGATTTTGTGAGCTCTCAGCACCAGAACACACAGGCAGGTGCTTGGGGAGTGAACCCTGTGGCTGCCCAGGACAGGGAGAGCCAGGGGCTGCCACAGCAGCAGGGAGAGGCTGGCAGGCAGCACGGTGCTCCAGGAACTCACCCCACAGAATCCTGCTTCTCTTCTGTAGATCTCAAACACACACATGCACACCTTAAAGTGCTGGTTTCAAAAACATGGAGCTTGAGGCTATTTTTATTCCTTTTTTTACACAACAAACAGCAATTCTGAAAAGCATTTTAAGAATGAGATCACTTTGCCAAGCAGCTCAGTTACTGAAGGCATTCAAGATTCTTAAAAGTGCCTACACACCACCAGTGCCCAGGGCACCAGCAGAGACCCCCTTGTGCTACTCAACCCACAGCAGCTTTAGTCATACAGGTACAGCAATAAAAACAGATACAATATTAATTCCTTGGTATAAATATTTAGTTCTCCCTGAGTTTGTTTCTGTTTCTGTCTTCACATTCAATCAAGAGCTCAAAACCTGAAAACAATACAAACCCCAAAAATACACACCACACATTCAAACTGCTTGGCTGAATGCTGCCAACAGAGATGTTTTAAAGACCAATAACTCTACCTTTATTTTGTTCCAGCTCTTCAACATTTATATTATGATGACATATTTCAACTAAGTATTTTTTAAAATGTCATATCAACTCAAGAGAAACAAGGTGACAACACAACTGGCACTTTAATCACTGGTTGAGAGCCCTTCTCACCTACTAAAAGAACATTTACTTCTGTCCCCGGTTACAAGGGATGCATTCCAGTTGCCTTCATATCACACAGGCAGTTTATGGCTGGGTGTAAAACCCTGAGGTCTGAAAAAAGCTGGGGACTTCAGTAAAAAAAGCTTATTAACTCAGCTAATACACCCGAGCTATTTAGGACAACAGTTTGATTAATCAAAAAGAGCTGGCTTCAGCTTACACCACTGTTCCCTTAGCTTGGATTTTACTGCATTTGAAGCAAAAATGTAGTTGATTGATGCATAGGAAAGATCCCACATCTGTGATCGAGTCAGATTAAATGTTTTTGCAACCAGCTCGTATTCTTGCGATAGATCAGTGGCGAAGACGCCTTTATCATCAGTCTGGAGTTAAATTGAAAGGAAAGAAATAAAAAAGTTCAAATTAGTTCCTCTATATCAAAAAGGTTTTTTTCTATACATACAAACAGGCTGTATCTTGTTGTCTCACATTTTATTTCACTGTTCTTTCATCTGTGCATGGTTATTTCATTCTTTATTTGCCCTATTTTCACTAAAACTGAATAAATTATTCAAATGTATAAGAAAACTTCTTAAAATAATGGCATGATTTATCAAGAAAATAGGATTTCCTACTGAAATTGCTAGAAAGATGGCTATCAAATGCTGCATATAGTCAAGGTATGTCAGTATGTGCAGGTTTCCTTATTCTTCTTTTCGCTTTCCCCAGATAAGCAGTGCTATAAAATAGATATATATGTATGCACACACACTTGGACAATGCTATGGACTATGGGGGTTAAACTAACAGGATAATACTAAAACCCTGCCAATGGCAGCACAAGTACTTGGCATCTGCAATGCTTAAAGACCTTAATGAGCTACCAAGAGAACTATCAAGAGCAGGAGCTCTCGCCCAGCACAATGAACACCAGGTTAGTAGAGGTGCATATGCAAGCACTGGAGCAATGGGTTTTAAGAGAAATCTATTGTGCAAAGAGCTATGAAGTTCACTGCTTGTATAGCTGACCATTTTATTCCACAGAAAAAAGTCTTGGCTTTACAATAGAACCAAGATAAATACTAGCAATTCTCATTTAAATTAAAAGCATTTCTCAAACAGAACATTATGATTTCCTAAAAGCAAATCATTTGCTACAAGGTCAGAAATTGTTAGTCAGTTCTGATCCATAAACAAAGACTTCCCCAACTTCACAAGTTTAGCCCTTTGCTTTAATACATGCTTAAAAATCAAAAAACTTACACAAAGCACCGCAGGATGGCCCATGCTGTACCAGTATCCAAAATGGTGTTTGTCACAGGAAGGCACTGTCTGAGATTTTATGTTTGATGTCATGCAAAATTCTGAGGAAGAAACAGAAAAAGAAATGAGGACATATACTAAAACAAGAGACACGTTAATTGACTTATGAAGATCCTGAATAAAAATTAAAATCAGTTACTGCTGTTTCCTTGATTTTCTATGCTTCTTTTGTAATTACTTTTGAGAAAAGTTTGCTAATCGATTTCTTTGGGGTATAAAATTTAAGGAGCTTGCAAACCAGGCACAGAACCACCACACAGTCTTGTACAGTAATGACAAGTTATTATTTGGTTTTGCTTCTATCTGAGACATCAGCTGTTGTCTGCTGTGCCACAAAGGTGCCAAAAACCCTAAAAGTGTCATGAGTGTACCTTTATGGGCAAGTCTTCTCATTGCCACGTTTGTCCAAGTCTCCTCTGGTCAGAGACAAACTGGTGTCCCTAGATCAGCAGCACATATCCTGTTCTGATATCCAGAGATCAAGTCACAGGAAATATTTTTTTTCTTACCAATAGGTATATGATTCTGCTGAACCAGTGACACTATCTCTTCTGAACCTGCTGCTGTGGAGTTGAGAAATGTTCCATGTCCAATTCTGTCAGGAGGCAGGCCCAGGAGAATCTTGGTCTCCTCTTCTTGATTTGGAATCTAGAGAGGATATATGTCACATTCTGTCAAGGCAGCATAAAACAGCACATTATATAATTACAATGGACTTTCACAGCATCTCTTATCCAAAAGAAAGTGTTAGTGAAATAGAAACAAGTATAAATATGCTGATGAAATCATATGTCCTGCTTAATTTCCTGAAAAAATAACTACCTTCAGTAATTACTGGACTTCTCGTAGCCAATTCCAGCCACTATCTGAACAAAAGCACAACTCTTTCTACTGATCCCAGTGCAACTAACAGAGCTCACTGCTCACAAAACTGTGGATTTCATTACACGATTGCTGATATAATACCAGTAAGAAAGCAGTGGATCTCTTAGAAAGCTCCTAATTTCTCACCTAAACCCACAATTTATATAGTACAGGAAGCAATAATCTGGCTGTTCAGATCTAGAACAAAAGGTTGAAGATTTCTCCTTGTTTTCTTGTCTCTTTCCAAATGCCCCAAACCATTAATGCTTTGGCCTGAGAAGCCCAAAATGCACAGAAGGTAATTTTAGTTTCATCAAGATTTTCACAAAATGACTATTATAGAGAAGCAGCAAAACAAAAAAAAGCCTTTTACCTCACAAAGATGCAGTGCTAGCTTCAGACCTGCTTTCTTTGCTTCAGAGAGAGGTTCCAAAAAATCTTGACCATGTCCTGCCTGGAAATCAAGAATTCTACAGCTTATTTGACAAAATCCCTGTCATTACCATAATTAAGAAGTATAGCAATACCCAAGCACTACAGTTACATTTAAATTATTCCACTTTTCCCACTACTTCAGTGTGGAATGCAGCAAGTCAAACAAGCCTCTGCCATATGATTTAGACCAATGGATCAAACACCAGTAGCTCAGATGATGCCTAACACTTACAAACCAATTGTCTTGATTTTGATATCTTTACACAGCTACCACCTAGAGCTATTTCACTTCAGCTTGACAGCTGTCCTCAAACAATTTTTGCTTTCTTAATACAAAATGAGCATTTGGAGCAGCTAAACAAAATGTAAAATATTGGCAACTTGCCTCCACCCAGTTACCTGACTGGGACAATTGAGGTACCCACACTTCCCAGATAAACACTGCATTTCAATGGTTCTTTTCTCAATTACATACTAATCTAAGGATTCTTTGTTAGAGTATTTGCCCCTTACAGCAACAGGGATTAACCCAGTATCAATCCATTCCAGCTAGGCACAAAAATTGGACAAAAACTTGTGAGAAAAACTATGGTTAGAACCACCTGCTGTTACATAACATTACACATTTATCTTCAAGAACAGACTAAAATAAACCAAAAACTTACAGTGGGATCACCACTGAGGTCAAGTCCTACTACAACCCCATCACTGGAAAGCAGGAACTCTTCAGCAAGTTTAACAGTCTGCTTAGCAACTGCTGGGCCATCTCTTCTGTTTATTGCTATTAACAGCCTGGGACAAAAAATGTATTAAATTATTATTAAATTATATACAAGCTGTAATATCAGGAACTCAACAGACCTGATACCAACAAAAAACAGCACTTCATATCCTTCATGGCTGAGTATAAAGAGTATTTGTACAGGAAACTGTTCTAGGAATGAAGGTACCAAAGTGCAGAGGGACACAAACAGATAAATAAGGTGGCCCATGATATGCAATAACACATATGGAGGATGAAAATTCTTCAGCTTTCACAAATAAATCTAGTAAGGGTTGCTTCAGAAGCTATGAAAGACAGAGAGAGAGCAAACTGTCTCCAAACAACCACTGACACCTTCTGAAACTTCTCTGCTGGTCAGGACCAGCTCTTCTTTACAGTAAGCTGCTTGTACAGCTAATCAAACTAAATCTTTGCAATGAAGCTAAGCTCTGAAAAAGGAGCCAATTCCATGAAAAACAGTTATTTTCCTGAAAATGTCACAAAGAATGGATAGTCTTAAAGATGAGAGGTTTTACCCAGTTTTCTTCTTTAGCAGTAAAAAAGATTAGAAGACAGGTTTCCATCCCAATTATCTGTTTCCACTCCATGTAATCTGGTTTAAAAACAATTTTCTTTCCTATGCTGATGGCTTGTAAACCTCTCTGCAAGCATGACCAGGCATCAGACTACACAAAAACTTGAAACAGAGGTGTACCACACGCTTTATTTACCTTACATCTATATCCAAGCCTTCTTCTTGACACTGCTTTATACCCTCAAGTACAGTTTCAACATACATCCTTTTGGTCATACCTGCAAACATATGCACACATTTGGAAGAAACATATTTTAAGTTATTTTTATTCTACTGCAGACCCAGCTCTCTAGTCTCCTAAGTTTCATGTTGCACCTTTGATTTTTGACTACATAGCCTTCTAACCCATGTAATTCTAATTCTACCTGTAAATATAGCTTTACTGTGAAGCACATATCTGAACTAAACCTCCTCCTAAGCATGTAGAAAAATTAAAATGACTTTGTGTGAACCAGAGAATCGCAATAGGACTTCTATTATGTGTTTCTACTAAGCCACACCTAGAAGAAAAAACCAAAATAACAAAAGTAAAATATATCAGCTATTAAAAATATTAGCAGACTCAGATGCCATACTCAAGTGAATAACTCAATCTCATGGGCCATAGATTTATGACCAGCCCCTTTTTTCCCTCAAAAATATAATGCTTTTACATCGTTAAATCTTAGCTTTCATATTTAAAGTGTATTTTTCTTGAGCCAACTAAATTTGACTTTTCTAGTTATTAACATAGTCTTCAACTAAGTTTTATAGTGCAAGAATATCACAAATTAAAAACCAGAAAAGAGTGTACCTGTGGAATTTTCTTCTCTTGGAGTGCTTCTCAATTCCAGATACTTAACACCATCATCAGCAAATTCTTTAATGACATCTTTAGTTATCTGATTAAATAAAAGTGTATTCAACACTGTAAAAGTGATACTTATAATTAGTTATATTTTCATTTACAACTAAAAGACCCAGTTATTTTTGTTGTGAAACACTTGCAATGTTTTCAAGCCCAATGTGTTTTTAATGGTCCCCATGTTTGTGGAAATACTACCACACAGAAGGCACATTTGATTCCTTCAGGAATACTGAAGAGAGCTCAAGAGTTTTACAATAATTATTCTGACCTTCAATTGAAAAAGATAATTTGTGATATTATTACTTGGAACTCAATGCTCTTAATCCAACAGGTTGTGATTGTGTGTACTGCTTGCTTGAAGTGAATTTTTAATTAATTTACCAGTAAAATATCTTCAGTCCTCGTGGTAACCTGATAGATGATCTGAAACATCTGAAAACATCTAAAATAAAATTTAAAAAAAATTATTGGAATGACATTGAATGAGTATGTAGGGAAAAAAAAATCTACATTTTAAAAACACCTATCCACTGGAGTCAAGTAACCAGACTGTAGCTTGAAATAGAAAGAAACATCTGAACAGCAATTTCTGATTTTAGATACTAACAAAGCATTCGCAACAAAAGTTGCAACTACCACAAAGCTTTTTGAAGGAAAAAGAAAACATGAAATTTCTAAAAAAGGAAACTATATGAGTCAATTTTCTCTGAAAAGCAGATGATCTAAGTAAAAAATTTCAATCCTTTAAAGAAGGAATTAATCAACAAGAGTTCTCCTTTTAGTTTGCAAGCATTGAAGAAATTACTCTGTAGATACAAATATTTAAAAAAATCTATGAGATTATGCTGCAAAACTTAAAAGCATATTTTCTGCAGTTAGTGTGTAAGGCCACACATTTCTGTTTTCAACTTAAATAAAAAACCTTTGGTAAATGTTCATCACACACATGCATATACTCACTCATCTAAGGTTCTTTTCTTTCCTTTGTCAATCACAGTCATTCCATTCTGGATCTGAAGGTTTGGCTTCTGGGCCATGAGTTTCTTCATAGTAGCAGTACTGATACAGCCATTCAAATGAGCATGGAGTTCCTACAGAAATAAAAATCCTATGGACTTATGAAAAGGATGACTTCTGCACCTTGTTTGTACCACTGTTCTCTTATCCATCAGTGTTTCACTCTGGGTTTGAAAAGAACAGCTATCTGCATTTTGGCTAACAATAACTTCCTTAGTTTTTGCAAGCACTGGTTCAGCTGAGAACTGCCCTGTTTATTTTGTGGCTGCTGTTGGCTCTGGTCTCCATGGGAGCATAGCTGGCTCAGCAAAGAGCTCTCCAGACAATTCTCGGGGTGGTGTGATCCAAGGTGAGGAGAAAGCCAATAGCTGCCTCAGTATTACAAAAAGTACAGTAAGGATTCAAGAACTCTCCCCATCCATTGCAAGTTAAATGTGTATGTCCATCATTCAAATATAGCAACAGGTGTCTACCCACACCCCTTGCTTTTGTTCATGAAGTTTAAACTCACTCCAGAAATGCAGCAAGACTCTGCCATGAACGGCAACTGCAGTAACTGCACTCCTTTGCCTGAGGCCTCTTTCTGCCTAACTTCCTACTGACATCCTGACTTTGGGCTCCAAACCTATAATCCTCAGCTCCACTCCTCACTTTACCTTTGCTCCTTCTTATCTCCCTGGCTCCTGGCTTAAGGAATAGGTCTCTAGCGCCCTGCCAGCTCATTCAAAATATATCTACAAAGCACCTACTTTGTTACCTACCTCTCGTCTCCCTGTACACATCCATTCTCAATAGGAAAAGAAAAATTCCATAAATACTTCTCTTCAAGTTTTACATTGGAAAACATGTTGAAACTGTAAGCACCAGAAGCTGAGGCTGATTACAGATTCTGGTGACTGAGCCAGATATAAAGCGCTACAACTGTGTTATATTTTTCACGAGCTTACGATTACATCAGAGAATTCTGTCAGACATTAAACATACACCCTGAAAAGCAACTTAGTGAAAAGGAACACTGGAATGCAAGGATGCTGTGGTCTGAAGTGGGTTTGCTGGTGGCCCCGTGCACTGCCTGTGCAGAGCTCTGTGCTGGAGTACGTGCCCTCGGGGTCTGGTGAGCGCGGCACACGAGCCCCGATAAATCCACACCCACCCCTACGCAAGGCTTGCACTGATATGCCCGAAGTAAGGCACACCCTCGGGACATGGAGAAAAAGCGTTATCTGAGCCAGACTTCTTGGCCAGACTATGGGGAAATAGGACAAAAAAAGAAAATGAAGATCGAGCTCAACTGATTTAATTGCAATTAGATTAGTAAGGTCTGCAAACAAACCGGACAGGCAAACACCCGATGCATTTTGCGGTGGGATAAGGCCCTCAGAAACCGCGCGTTTGGGAAGAACTCGGCGACAGCAGCAGCGTCTGTCGCTCTGTCTGTCCCTCCGGCTGCAGCCCGAGCCCGGTGCCGCCGGAGGAGGGTCCGGGCCCGCCGCCCCCCGCCGCTCACCGCTTTGGGCAGCCGTCGGTAGAAGCGCAGCTCCCGCTCGCGGTCCCGCTCTGCCGCCATGGTGGCTCCTGTGCCGGCGGGGCGGGACGAGCCGGGGCTCGGCGGCGGCACCGCCCCGGCCCGGCCCCGGGCCCGCCCCCGGCACCGCACAGCGCGGGGCCGCGGCCGCCGCTCCGCCCGCCCCGCGCCGCCGAGCGGGACCGAGCCGAGACCACGACAAACACCGTCAGTATTAACGCCAGCAAAGCTTCAAGGCGCAGTTTATTGAAGCGATAGCATTTCCAGCCCGACGGCACCGCAGTGCTACAGCAGCGGCAGCTCCAGCCCCGGGCCGGGGGCAAGCACGCACGCACGGCCGGGCATCCACCGCGGCCTCACGAAATTGTCCTGTAATGGCACTAGTCCGCTACATTATCGCGTCACAAAGTCCTAAGTGGATAAACTCAGCGATTATATTGCCAACCCTTTTTTAAAGTAATTTGGCAAGCTTGCTAGCACAAGAATAGGGACCGTAACTTTCATGGATATGCTGGTCAAACCCAACCAAATCAAAGTTTTCCCAGAACAATCAAAAAAATCAATTTCAATTATTTCGTATTTAGCCCTTAGTGATACTGCAGTCTAATTCTTAACTCCCCCACAATTTAAAGTCGAGTCTCTAAGCAGATATTGGCTCTTGCTATTTCCCAAACCAAGAAGATAATGTAGTTAACATCATAAAACATGGTGATTTACATACTACCCACATAACTCAGACAAATAAATTATCCTCCCACAAATACAAAAAAAAAATACTGACATATTTAGAGAAGTTAGCTTTAGCGTTAAATTCAGGCATATAAATATGAAGTAAACAAATCAGGATTCAAGTTAGTTTACACCTCTTTGGGGGCCTGACAGATCATCCAAGCTCAAGCACAGTGTAGAATTTGGTTAGCTGCTCAACTTTTTTTCATAGAAAAATACCATGTCCATAGAAGAAATGCAATTAATTTCAACTTACTCAGTGATCCACTCTTTTATTTGACCTTAGTTAAAGGCAAACCAAGTACAGATACTGTACATTAAAATGTATGCACACAGAAGAAACAGTTGTTCTTCATTCTACCTTAAAGGCTCAAAACTCCACACTTGTTTATTTAGAGCCCTTTGCAGGCAATGACTCCTCTCTGAAACACATTGCACCCACACTTAAATATAGAGAGATCCATCTGCAGGTCCCACATAGCCAACACCTATTAGCAGCACATCAATTAGTGTCCATATTCCAAGTCCACCGAAGCTGAAGAGCTTTCCCAGACCTCCCCGCCACTGACCCAAATAGAAACGATCGGCACCAAATCCACCAAGGGTGATGCTACAAGAATAAAAACATGATTAATGATTATTATTTTTACAGGAACTGAGCTTGGGTACCCAAGTATTTTTCCTCCAGCTGTGTTTGCTGAAGACAGCCAGCACTGCTGCATGTGAACCCTTCATACATTCGATGTCCACCATTTCAAGCTAGACTATCTGAAATACTGGTTATCCAGCACAGCTTTAAAAATACCAAGCAGAAAACCCCAAAACCTAAAGATTTTAAAGAAAACTAATCTATTTTAGCTTGACATTATCCAGTAGTTCCTGCTTACCTTAGTGCCAAGGCAGTAGACCACTTATAACCTCCAGTCCAGTTGCAATAGAGCATCTTAGGAAAGACACGGTTACCTAAATATTGGAAAGTATTAAAACATTGATGCAATATTATAAGGAAGAAAATGACAAGGAAGAAGATATTATATTTTTCCAAAAGGAGTCTCAAAGGTTTGTCACTAACTGAGAAACAACTGTAAATAATAATATACAACACAAGCTTATTTATACCCTGCAGTTTTCTGTTCCATCAATCTTGGTCCCACATCAAAAAAAGTCAGTGAACAAACAGAGGGAAAATTAAGCCTAGTTGGATGGAATCAGCATAATTTTTTTTAATTGGCCTATGGAGACATTTGATATTGATTCTATTAGTGGTCTGAGAATCAGACCACTAGTAGGTGCAAATAATTTTAACTCACAGAAATTGAAAAAAATAAAATTCCCTCATTATACATGGAGCAGCATTCCCAGCCTGTGCTGTGAGAGCCAGAGGAGCCACAGGGCTGTGTGCAGGACACCAGCCAACAGTCCAACACAGCACCAGGACTGAGCTGGTGGGGATTAGAGCTGCCTCAGCCAGCACTCCTCAGCAGAAGTAATCGGTTCAGGAATAGCAGCGGGGTGACACGGGTAACCTACTTTGAGTTGAGCTCTAATTAGGGCTACAGGTACCTCAGCCATTTGCTGTTTGCACGTGTACAGAATCATCTCCTACACTGCCAGTAAGAACAGCATTTCTGTCAGTCCTGGTGCACCCTCAGTGTGCTACAAAGCTGTACCAAGGGTGGGCAGGGAGCAAGTTCTTGCAGGATGCTGAAGTCTTTCACGAACTTCCACCATCCTGAGGGGTATAAACCACATATACCACAATGGTAATGGTAACTTACCATTTTCTAGTTCTTATATGGACCAGTTGTCTAATTAGATAACCAAAAGTAATTGTTATGGTCACTGAAAAGTAATTCATAATGTGTTACACTGCAATGCTTCTTACCACTGTGAAGTCATGTACAGGTTTCTAAGACCCAGTTCAAGAACTTTCAGACTCAAGACTGAGAAGGATCCACAGAAAACAAACAAAAGAAACAACGTAATACCTTACCTAATGCTTTCAAATAGGGAGCATTTGTACTTGTTGAAGTGAGGCTTTTTGCCAGCGTAGACTGTGGCTGTGAAAGCTTTGTCGTCATCAAAGATCCTGCTACAAGACAAAAACATAGAGAAAGTGAAATTTCTAAAACAAATTTCATCTTCAGAAACAGTTTGATTTCAGCACTCTGATATGAAAATACAAGTGGAAAGTGTACTGAGACTAGAAAAAAATCTGTTTTCCTGTTCTACTAATAGTGGGATATTTATGTTAAATATTAGAAAGAGCATTAGAATGGAATTGTTCCTTAAGACAATGAAATACATTTATTTCCATTCAATCTTATTTTTTTGATTCATGAGAATTAAAAGCACTGCTCAGAAAGCGTATTTTACACAGGGTTTTCTACTGAACAATACCATTTAATGAAGCAATGGCAGCAGTTCTTTGACAGAAGCATGGAGCAGAGGTACCGCTCGGGAGGCACGGCTGTGTTCGTGCGGGAGCCGCCGGCTGAGGGCTCGGGAGAGCCGCGATGTGCCAGCTGCTGCCGAGCCCTCACGGCGGCCACCGGGCACGGGCGGAGGAAGGAGAGGCAGCTTTGGCACACCAGCCACCCCGGCCGTGCCGAGGAGCCCCAGGACGCTCTCAACCACACACGTTCGCGACAGAGAGCAGGCACAAAAGGAGCCGTGTAACACAGCAGCACACGAGCCGGCGAGCGGGGCCTGGCCCGCCTTCTGCCCTGACACCGAGCACCTCAGACCCAGCCCCGCAGAGCCGGCACAACGAAATGCGGCCATGCCCCAAACACCCGCTTCGCCCCCGGTCAGGGGAGCGGCAGCGCATCCTCACCCCGCCGCAGCACGGCCACCTCCGCAGCCGGACCCGCGCTCAGCCCTGCCTGAGGGAGCGGCCGCCGCCGCTCGGGACAGCCGTCCCCACCCGGAGCCTCTGCCCTTTCTCCCACCCTTCCCGCCCTGTCTCGGCCCTGCGGCCGCGCTCACCGCGGCCCGAGAGCACGGAGAGCTGTGACAGGAACAGCGCGGCCCCGCAGAGCCCGCGCAGGGCGCGCCGCCACCACCGCGCCGCCATCTTGGTACGCCCGGCGGGCCCGGCGGCGCCGCCAGGGGGCGGGCAGGGGGCGGGGCCGGGCGGCTGAGGGGAACGGCAGCGCCAGGGCGGCCCCACACGGGAGCGGAGACCGGCAAAGGCCGAAACTCGCTGTGAAACACCCTCAGAACCTCAATGCTGCAGCATCAGTACATCACACACGGAGCACGAAAGCGATTGTCCATAAAAATGTAGGTATTTATAAAATATAGAGAAAAAAATCGCCCGCCTCTCCCTGTGTTAATTCAGTCAAGTGGAACAGAAAACTTTCCCATTGCTCCTTCAATGTTTGTTTTTCCCCCCTTTTTCTTTTAGAAGCAGGAGATAAAAACAGATCCACAGACGAATACAAAACCAAACACAGACCTATTAAACACAGGTCTGTAAGAGTGAGGCAAAAGTAAAACATAAGCTTTGTATTTGTGTTAATATTTACACATTAAATTGTAGCTTCTGCTTCATGGCTGTGATATTTAAATCACAACCAGAGCTGAATAGCTTAGATAACTGAGCAATACACTTAACACTGCTAAGCCTGTTAACTAAATAACAGCATATTAAAGTGAAAAAAATTGTAAAAACGAATCTCTCAAAAAATTCAGCAACAGCAGCTTTAAAATCACTTCTAAGCATAAACAAAACAGAAACATGGCCAGTTTCAAGTCCAACACACTGTTTTAAAATTAAAATTGTCCTCTGTTCCTTTTCAGCATTCTACTTTCAGCAAATAAAGCAATAAATTACAGACAGAAAGGTTTTTCAAAGTTTTTTTTTTGTTTTAGTCAAAAGCCAAAACAACAGCAAACAGAGGAACAAAATAAAACACTTCACACACAGTTATAGCAATTGAACTGCATTCTTGTCAGCATCACAGCAGCCAGTCATCACACCGACTCCACAAGTGCCTTGTTACACTGAGACTTCCAACAAAGACTCCAGTGCATTCATAGTCTGTGAACACACATTCTGAAACAACCAAGATGTTCACATGCCCCCCTGCACCCTCAAATTTTTGTTACCATCTGGAGTTAGGAAAAAACCTAATCCAAACTGCTCCTGAGGCACCTATGCACTGCCAAGCTCAGGATGCCAGGTCACAGTCAGGAGAGCTGGGACTCTGTGACTGAGGGAGCTCAGCTCTCCCAGCATCTCCCCTGTCCTTCCCACCCTCCTGATGCCCACCACGGTACAGCCCTGACTGACTTCCACAGCAAACCCACCACATCAGAGTTGCAGGACTTTCTAAATAAGCATTCTGCCGTTCAGGCAGATTGGAAACCCATGCGATTGCTAAAGGAGTTGGCAGGTGCATCTGTCCTCTCATGCTTTTCCTGGAGCACCAGCAGTGCTCCATTTGCTTATTTTGTGCATCCATTAACTGAAAATTCTCTCAGATGAGCATCACTGCTGTGCAGGAAGAAAGAAACATTTCACACAGGCAGCTAATAATTTTTTTTCCTAGCAGCAACATCAGAATTCTTCTTCTGCATTTGCAATTTGTGAAGTCTTAAATTTCTTGAGTTTTTCAATAGTAGAAGATACTGAAATCTCTCCGTGAACTTTGTTGTCTCTTGTTCGCACATTGACAGCATTATTTGCTTTCTCCTTTTCTCCAACCACTGCAAGACATAGCACAAAATATTACACAATCTACATTAGAAAATAAGCCTAGAGCAAACTTTGTCCAACATTAGAACTTAAATGATATTCAGAAATGTAAGATGCTGCAATTACCTAAAATGAAGTTATACTGAGCCAGCTGTGCATTTCTAATTTTCTTGTTTAATGTGCAACTTTGATCTAGATCCACATCTGACATAAATCCTGCTTCAAAAAACTGGTTGCAAACCTAAAAAAAACCCAAAGAAACCAAAACCCTCTTAGTATTACTATATAGTTTACAACATACATTTGTAAATGCTGCAATTATTGATCTCTCCCAACAATTAATTCATGCATATGCATAATTTCGTTCTTGTGGATGATTATAAGGATTTCAATGAAGTTATCTGAAGAAACCTGCACACACAGCAGCACCCCAGCTGGGAAACAATACAAGGTAACATCTATATCAAACATGCTGCTCTGCTACTGCATGTCAAAATCATGTCCTCAGTCTGAGAAAGGACAAAGAGGAATAGGAACAAACACACTTATTCTTGCATTACAAGGAAAGCATGGGACAGGGGTAAAACCAACCATGGCTCAAAAGTGATGTAGTCATGGTGGGAAATGGAAGAAACCGGCTCTGCCTAGTTAGAGATGAGAGTGCTGTAATAAAGCATTATTTATATAAGGCTGGTCATCCAGGATGCTTTGTCCTTTAATAATCACAGAAGTATGTACATAATTAAATAACCCCAAATACTTGAAGTTACACACCCCTTACTCAGACATATACAAATCTTAGACAGAAACTTTTATACTGAAAAATTTACCTTTCCCCCCAAACATGTCTCCAGAGTCATTAAGCATTAATTCCCTGCTCTAGGACAAGCACTAAGGATCTCTGAATCTGCCTGCTGCCATAAGGAGACAAGCTGTCCTCTCACCTGCTGGGCGTACTGTTCCGACGTGGGGCCCACAGGCACAACCATCACCTGCCGTGGAGACAGCCAGAACGGCCTGGCCAGCACAGGACCAACAGGAAACAGAGGTGCATTTTACATTTCCAGTCATGTTCCACAACAATAATTTCTGTATAGAATGGTTTACTAAGGATGTTGGTTAGTGTATCATCTCCCTCTTTTCAAGCTCTCACAAAATAGCAAATTTCAGTAAAATGACACATAGGAAAGTTGGACCTTCTGTTTTCTTCACAAATGACTTCACAACTTTAAACATAATTTTTCCTGCATAACTTTCACTTTTATCTATAACTTTACAGTGAAGGTGGACAGTCAAGTGACAGTCAAATGACTGAAAATAAGAACTAACTCTTCCTTAGTAATTTAAATACATTCATGAAGAAATCCTTCCAGATCTTATCCAAGACAAAATGATCAATGTTAGAAGTACAAAAATATTTCACGTATTTTGATTAATGAATGTCTGTGTATACAAAAATCATTGCTTTACACACATCTGACATCCTGCTGGTACAAGGGCACAATTTTTAAGAAAAAAGGAACAAGAATAATGCAGGACTTATACATTCAATTACAATTCCTATTTCTGCACTATTTTTACTTTTTTCTGCAGTCTCATGAAATTGTATGGATATTACATAACTCAGACCAGAAACTGGACTTTTTTTGTAATCTTACTAATTTTGAGAAAATGTTAGGGATACTATTTTTGCATTATAATATATGGGGCAATAGGAAGGATATGCAGTTTCTACGTTGTTAGTCTTCTGAAAATTCCATTTGTGCCACATACCATTTTCCTCCATAATTTTCTGCTAGAATAGCTATCATTCTCTCCACAGATCCCAAAATAGCTCTGTGAATAATCACTGGCCTTTTCTTGTCATCACCATCCTTACTGAAAAAAAATAAATCAAGTTTTTTTTTTTTTTTAAAATACAGTTATTTGAGCTCAGACACATGTAATCCTACTAATATTTTTGACTCTACTTTAAACAGAAAGACAAAATTTAGTTAGTTATACTTATGAAAAGTCTACTGGTTTTATTACAAATGTACTTGAAGTCAGCTGGGCTTTTAAAGAAATTCTGATTTAAAATAATCATGCCTACAGCTAGTGGCAGAAATACACTCTTAAATTTGAGAAGACGCTTGACTGACTCAGCACCATTTTTGTGCATTTTAATATTTTATGTTCTTCCTTGCACTCTCTTTCCATTAGGACTTGCTTTTATCTTGTTGCACAGGAACTTACTTGCCTTTACATTACTTCACTTAAATTACAATCCTGACATTTAAAAAAACTGGCTTTTAAAAAAAAAGCCAGTTCATAACAATATTACCACCTATCATAAAAGCTATAACATCTACTGTAGACTATACCGCAGAACCAAAAAATTACAGATTCTTACTGTCTCTTCCCCATCTTCATAATATGCAAAAATCAAACACAGCAAGAAATACAACCCAGAAAATGAGTATTCAAGTCAATGTGGCACTAAAATTAATTTGCTCAGTGGGCCTAGCTGGAAACCAGCCAGATTTTCACTAAAAGCTGTTCACACTTGGTTGATGTTCAAAGTTAACTAATTTAATCTGATAAAAATAAAGAGCCACTTAGTACAAACATACTTGCTCCTTAGAGCATGTTGAGTTTGTGTGCTGTGTCTTCCAAGGAGACACAATGACTAGGCTGAAAACGAAAACTGACTCAGCTGAGGGGTTTTTAGCACTTCTGATGATCAATTGCCTTCAAAACTGGCAGACAAGACAGATAATGAGATTTTTCCTGCATTTACAATTAAAGTGAGCTATCATCACCTTGAGAAAGTATCTTCAAGTTCATGACTCGCTCCTCTGCTCACTGGGGGTGTTTGCTCTGCCTACCATCTGACTGATTTACAAGCTAATCATTTGTTAAATGAGCAATATAGCATTAGTACATAATGGGAATTACAGAAAATGAAAGCTATTGTTTGATTTCATTTTAAAAAGGAAGATATTCAGCTTAACAACTCACCCAACATAAGTAAGATTAAACCGAATGGGTAGCTGGAAGTCAAGCTGGATGGTAGCACATTGATGGTACCTACCAATTGCATCTTTGATTTTAATATCAATCTGTGAAGCAAAATTACACAGTTACTAAATATAGTTTGCCTGCAGTACATCTGCATTTCTGTCCATCCCAAAGTTATACTGAAATGCTGAGTCACTAACCTTAGGACCATAAAATGCTCCATC